ACGTGAGCTCCGCGGAGCTACATCCCGTGACCTGGCACGCAATTCCTCCTCACACGAGCAGACTTCACGATCAGGCCACAATTCACACACGATTATAGAGACAGACAGTCAAATTGTGCTGAGCACAGAGCAGATCTGCAGCTGATGTAAGTCGGTGAGACTCCAAAGCTGATTCATACACCAGTGAGAGATAAAGCCTGACATGAGGCATCTATGAATCACTTTCTACAGGAAAAGGCAGAAGGCCAAGTGCAGACCCTAAACCACTCTCAATGAATGTTTGTTTTTGTTTTTTTTTAAATACACTCAAGGTGAAATAGTCAATGTCAGAACTGTGATCCTGAAATGGAAGAGCACCTGCTACTCCTGTGGTCACAATCTCCCTTTATCTTGGGCTTCTGACTCTTTAATCTGTTGTGGAATGTCATTTAATTAAGTATTTTCAGGGTTCACTCTAGGCCGTGGGATTATGCTGTAAAGCAGGCAACATTGGCCTGAAGTTGCGATAATTAAGGCCGCGAAGGACAGCTTGGCACRTTGTCTAATCAGGGAGCCAACATAAATATGCCAGAGCTGGTACTAAATATTTCCATGGTAGAAGCATGCAGCAGATGTACTAGACTGGGTTACCCCTCAGCACACAAGGAAGAGAGGAATCCAAAAACAGCATTCCCCCACTCTCCCAAAAAAAGAAAAAAAAAAAAAAAAAGACTTAGAAAAACACTCTAGGTCTTATCTCTAGATGTGATTGTACCTGCCTGGCCAGCAATGTGCCACCTGGCTCCAGACCACACTAAGACTTGCGAGACACACTAAGTCAACCCTAAGACTTAGGAGCAGCTCCCCAGGGCCAGACCTCTCACTAGCGGGACCGGTGCTGACCCAAGCGAGCTGCTGTGCTTCCCGTGGAGCAGCTGGCTCGTGGGCTGCCACCAGGGACAGCTGTGCCTGTCCCCTCTCACTCAGCGGCAGCCGACCTTGAAGTCCGCTCAGCTGAGGCCAAGCACGGGCCAGCTCTCCAGCTCGTTGGGTGCTGGCGTATTTCCACCAGCTTCACAAAGCAATTGCTTCCGTTCAGCACAGGGCATAATGGGGAGAAGGGCAGCAGGCAGCTGGGTCTTCAGCCACAAAATTTGTATCAGSGCAATCTGGGGAAAATAAAAGAAGAAATGGACTCCCAGGGTGCATGGGTATTCGCTTATGTACTTCTGGGCAATTCCATATTGATATCTCTAGCAGTTAAGAGTACACTAATAGTTCAAGTAAAGTAAAACAATCTCCTCCTTCTCCTATGCTGCAGACTCGCAGGCATTCCTGTCCTCCTGTCTCTACTTCTTACCTTTAGCTTTGGCTGAATTTCCCATGCTGGTCCCTGATCRCATCTTCTAGTTGTTCTTTATTCTTTTCCCCACCATGGCTCTGTGCTACACACCAACTGTGAATTTAGACAAATGCCTGGCGGGAGAGAGAAAAAAAGAAAAAAAAAAAAGCAAGCAGCACGTGAGATCCCTGTCCAGCTGGCAGATTTCCACGTTGGTGATACCCAGTGCCAAGCACACCAGCTGTGTCCTCAGCAGGCTCCACAGCATACGCTCAGGTAGCGGGAGTCAAGGGCAACTAACATTTTCCAGGAATATCTTCCATTCAAACCAAGCAACCAACTTGCAAGGTCGACTTGTTTGAGATGAGGAAACAAATTCTGGCCACAATTTAGAGTCTCATCTGACTCCTGCTTCTACAACTGATTCCACTTTGAAAGAAACTAAGCAGAGGGGCGATAAAAGCGGTCAGTGATTTGGAAAGCCACAGCTCAGGCCCCTACAACTACTGTCACTGTCAGATGAGGTTTTTAGAGTGGATCTTCCTGGCTGTACTGCCTTTCCCTCCAAGAAGCTTCAACACAGGCAACGTGTTCAGGCCTTTTCTTGCACCGCCTGCTCCTCCCGTGGGATGGRAGTTAACACAACATGATTTTATCCTTATCGGCAGTATCATCCACTTCTTCAGTTTGCTTGCACTTCTTATATATCAGCAAAGGTTTGTTTTGTTGTTCCACACATTAACAAGTTTGGAGGGTTGGACCCAACTCTGCTACCTGTCTCACCTTCATATTACGATTATGTTACRAATACTTACAGAAATTTCTTTCAAAAATTAACACTGCGTGACATGGCAGTTCTGGTTTCAGACTTTTACTGTTGCTATACAAACTTTTTGTAACTGGCAGTGCTCCAAACAACAGGATTCAGAGCAGAACAAAAGAAAAGAAAAAAGACACAGTCAATTCAGCCATTGTGAATAAAAAAGGACAACAGAGGGTTAGTAAAAAATAGAGATACAACWAGGAAAGAGCTCTTTTTTGTAGCCATAATTTTAGGCAATATTCTTTCCTGCTTCTTAAGCTGCAATTTTTATGGGACAGGGTAAAACCTGCGTTCCCCGATTGTAGAACACCTTGCAGAAACGTGTCTTTCGCCTCTTTGGTGACCACAGATGGAACTCAAATGAACACTTGTAAGATCCAGGGTCACTCCTCTTTTATGTGCACCTGAGCAGAACGCAAAACAGACTTGAAATAAGAAATMTTCTTCCTTCTTTTTTCTCTGCTGAGCAGGCCATGGAGCTGAAAGACGCAGCACTGAGAAAGCAGTGCTGCTTCCCCAGCGCCTTCTCATTAGAAACATCTCATGAACCATGCTTAGTGTCATATCCATTTAGTGTCAGGTGACAGACATTTTCTTCTGTAACATTCACTTTAACAGTAGTATTATTACTTTTACTTGAGCGCTTTGATTTAAGCCACAGGAGATGTCACAAATTAGTGTTTACAAAACTTAACACGAGGGGGCTGTCAGTACTTGCTTCAAGACAGGATTTAGACGGGTGAGACCCCATTGTGGAGGTAGCAGACTAATTACATGAACAAGGGTACAGAAGGATTCCAGACTTAAGTGCCACCTCGAGTTGAAGGGAAATTAATGATGCTCAGACTACAGCTCAAAGGGACAGTGAATTCTTTTTTTTTCTTTGCATTTTTACATATAATACAAAAAGAGATTTAAAAATTAGAATGGAAGAGATTCAGCATGGCTTGCTAAGCACTAGACCTGGCAGACAGCAGCCTGCATTCTCACATCACTAGTTAGATTCATTAATACACCTGAACAGTCAGCATCTCMGAGCTAGCCTTACTCATAACACGGTACAGGAGATACTTAGTTAAACATTGCAAGATAACTGATTCCAAGAGGATTTTAATAAACATTATTTCCTGATCATTATGGAAAAAATGCTGAATTTCCTCTATGATGCAAAATTTCACCAGTATTACCTATCAGTTGGATACTGTTCCCTACTGTTTACCAGTMCAGGTGAAATATATTTATTATGCATGTGGAAAAGTTTAAAGAAATATTGAATTGCTATGGTTAATAAACACACGAGAGAAATGCAATGTTTGATAAATATGCAGTATTCAAAATCCTTCCATCAAGGCAGAAATACAGAAAACAGTATTTAAGAGAACATAAAGTATCCTCTAGAAAGAGGACTGTAAGAGGCTCCCCAACAAAGCAAGGTGTTCCTATATTCATCACTAATGATCAAAAACATGTCACTTTAATCTTAACGCCAGCTGGCATCAAGGATGAGAAGTTCCATACAAATGCAAGCTGCTTTTTGATATGGGAACTCCAGCTCGGAGTCACTGGTGTAGCACATASCTCCCGTCAGGAACCTCCTCTTCAGCCTTTCATCGTGATTCATTGCTCCATTCAGTGCAAATCATAAGCTACAAAAYTGCATTATCAGTACAGCTCTTTTTAATCAATTCAAGGTACTGATGTTTAAATATCCCCTGCACTAGAAAGCAATTGCTGTTTAGACCCCCTCCCCTTTTTTTTTTTTTGAGAAATCATTATAACATTCTTATAATTACTTATCTTTCAGAGGAAGATAAAACAGACACAGCTGCTGTTTGAAAGGACATTTTGTACATGTAGCTTGAACAGTCACATCTGAAGTACAGCAGAGATTTTCTCTAATTCAGGAAACTATTTACTGCTGACTGTGTCGTGTGACAGCTCTGCGGCCTCAGTTACTCTCCCAGCAGAGGTATTTATTCGTTGTGGTTTGCCTAAGGACTTCTTCCTCTGCCGGGCYCCAACTCAGCAAAACACTGAAATAGATGGAGATGGTTCTCAGCGTGTTACCAAAGAGGAGTGAAGGGCTCTATCCAGCCTTGGAGAACCTGTTTTTCCCTTTATACCACACAGGGCACCTCTCGGGCCCCTCTGCTCAGCGTGGGGGGGTTCACTCTGCTTGGCCTCCACGCTCGGGAGCCCGCTCGCTAATGGGAAAGCTCAGGAAAACGGCATGCTGGTAGATAAGGTCACACAATGCTGCTGGGRTCAACAGCAATCTCTATCTATCCAGATTTTAAAGAGGAAGTGTGACCTCTGCTTGAAGGCCTGGAAATTGAATATCCCTCTTCAATGTCCTTAAGGAAAATCAGTGCTTCCTTCTGCCTATAAAAAGGAGATGGATTTTCCCCATGTGACAAAGCAGCAGGTTTGCAGCTCGTTATTTTCTGGGTGCCTGGTCCCCATCCTGCCTCCCAGGCCCAGTGCAGAGAAGTAGATGTTCTTCAGGGGACTGAGAGCCCCTCACAGAGCAACTTGCCAGGGAAGCTCCCCAGTGGATACTCCCTCTGCCTCTTCCCTGTGGAGCTTCCCTGGCAAGATGCCTCATCTCTGCCATCTGATGTAGAGACTGCGCTGGTGAATTCATTCAGAGGCTGTGGCTGCAATTCATATTTTCATTGTTGACTGGAAAACCCAGAAGTCCTCCAGGAGACAAGACCACTTTGCAAGAAATTCATTGCCCCTTAGTCAATCATGACTTAAGATACAACAGACCTTCCACTCCGTGGATTATGCTCCTTAAAGCAAGRCATGGACCTGGCCTTTGAGACCAAATATTTTTACACTTACCTTCCTGCAAGCAGAAACAGAATTAAGCATGATAGCAAACTACTAAGTTTGAGAACTGTGATCATCAAATTTCATTGTCCACTGAATTGTCCATTATGCTGAATTAATTACTGTGAAAAACTAGACACATCTCATAGGAAAATGAACCTCTTGAAATTACAATTGCTAGTAATGGAGAATCCACCAGTGCCCATGTTGTTCAATGGTTAATTATCTTCACTTTTTAAAATGCATACCCTTTTTCCCCTGACTGAAATCTATGCCAACAAATTAGTCAAGCTAATCAGTGCACTGACTCACTAGCTAACATCTAAGAACAAGAGAAAGAGATGGGATAAAATGCATGGGTAACACTACTTCTAGAAAGCTACAGATAAAAAAAAACCCTGAAAACTAGGTTAAATTACAAGGAAGATAAAGCACATTTGAAACCAGGAGGATATGAATCAATAATTTACATTTCCACAACTGTTACTCAGACATTTACAAGAGCTTTCAAACCGGTCTCCCCTGCCCCTCTCCAAATCACATCCCTCATGGCAATCCCCAGCAATTTCCGCAGAACTGAAACTGCTGCTACAACTGCTTGGAATTCTGCCATACGGGGAGAGAGCAAACAAATAGAAAAAGAGGGGGGAAAGGGGTTCCAGATCTCATCCCTGATTGCAGTTTTCCTCCCCCAACACAGTGCACTGATTTCCCACCACTCATAATTTAAATCAACTCCTAATGCAATTCCACTGCTAAACACTGTACTTAATAACACAAAGGCTCCCTGATGCCGTTAACACAGCTGGACTGCCAACTCTGAAATGTCAGCTTTCCTCCCCACGTTCCACAAGCTCTACTGCTAATTTTGACATCTGGTTTTCAGTGAGATGTATTTCTTACAGAGCAAATGCACACTGACAAATCTGAGGCCCTCTGTGTATTTTGGTAAATTGCAATCCATTATGAAAATATATCTTCCTATAATGAAATGTTAGCTTTGCAGTTGTAGTGCAAGCTGTCCAAGTATCTGGTGGGAACATTTAATAACAATAATATTTTGCTGAAGTAACACAGCCACCTCCTATAGGTATTGCTGATACCTACTCCTGGCTGATTTTTTTTCCCCTCAATATATTAGCCATTTAATTGTACACAGGTGAATGCAAAACTAGGTAATATTAAGATAAAGAACTGCCCTGGCAGCTTGGATCCTCTTTGCAAAGGAAGTAAAATACGGACGTCTGTGCAGCAGCTCCCATGAGGACCTTGCTGACAGCAAACATCATGGATCAAGATCATCCTAGSAGGCTGCAGAGCTCAGTTACACATTCAGATGTGAGCAATGCGAAGCACTGAGGGCCTAGGCACATCCACTGACGATTCGGAGGCTGTGACGGATGCACTGGGCATAGCCCTCCTGAGGAGAAGTGAGTAGAGCTGCTAGAAGGCACTCCCTGCATCTGGTTTGCAGTGCTGCAAAGACAAGAAAAAGCTTGACTCCTATATTATAAGCTTATTTATTTATTTAGCTGAAAATTTTCTGAACACTAAGTTAGCAGACCCCAGYGCAAAGGATCTGATCCATCCTACAAGGAATTTACTGAGTATGCAGAACATATGAGACACGTGGATGCCACAGAATCACGGCACACAAGACACAGTACTAGCAAGGCTGGCAACTCGGGGTGTCCCAGGACTGTGCCTTCAAATGCTGCTTCCAGACAGTTCTGCTCAGGAGCTGGAGCAGTGCTTGCAGCACACAGGCTAAACACTCTGGGCTGCATTTGTGCCCAGCCTGAACTGAGGTCCACTCATATCAGTGGCTCAGTCTGACGTGCAGCTGTCTGGCACTGCACACGTGTTTCAGTAAATCATTTCCTGTCAGCAGGACGCTCTTCCAAAGGCCTTTGTGGCAGTCTGGTGGCACATTCACTCCCTCCTGCTCTTTCAGTGGGACTGACTGTTCTGCTGATCTAGGTGAATATCTGGCAACAGGAATGATTAGCAATGCTTTGTCTTACAAGATCACATTGCTAAAGCACGAGTCTCCAGAAACCAGCAAGTCAGCACAGAGCTGCCCTCCCAAACACTGCTCAGCCCCGGCCCGAGTGTAGTGCGTCAGCCAAGCAGCCCTGCAAGCACCAGGGCAGGAAGGCCAAAGGCAGCGTAGGAGCTCTGCCTACAGCCACACACATGCAGGAGTTACCTGAGAATATTAGGCTGACTTGGTGTCCTTCAAATCCAATAGAAAGATGATYTAAAAATAAAGATCTGTATTGTGTACAGACCCAGATATTGGGGATATGTAAAGTCCTATGCTCAGGAAATAAYGGTCTCAAACTCACACACCAGGGTAGCCATCAGTTGTTTGAATTCAAGAGGCTGCACTTGAAGCCTTTCAGGTTCACACAGCCTTTCAACAACYGCACAGTGGAGCACCAGGTGCTCCTGCAGGTACAGGACAACACAGTGTGTCTCAGAGAATACGGGGTGCTACCCAGCCTGTATAGACATGCACACCCAGAGGACATTGTGGCCCAGCTATATCATTCCCATATGGGTACCTCGCTCAGCCACTGGAATAGTTTTGGTCCTAGTTAGAAATCTCTTTATTACTCTTAAATTCATTACTATACTATTTGGTTATACAGTGCTTAATCTAAGGGCTACTTCACTGGAGAGATCCAAAACCCACTGTCATAAGACTTAACCAGCTTGGAGCTCTGGATCAGGCCCCTTGTGAGTGGGAGAAAATAAGTATGTTTAAGCCTGACGTGACCCAGGGTTTACTGCTTCTCTTAGCAGAAGCACTAGCTCCTGTTCAGCCATCACAATATTTGTCAAGCATAATGCTCATTAGTCAGCTGTGTGGCCAGGCTAGCAGTGTATAAACACTCTCAAAGATCAGGTAGGAACCAAAGGTCTGCTCTATATGGTCAATTATAGCCATCAACATTAACGATGCCACCATGGAGAGCTATACAGGGAGAAGAGAGAAGTGCTTTTCCAAGGCTAGTCTTGATGACGTACCTGGGCTACGTGGAGAAGCAGTGAAATAATGTAGTGTGCACCTCCAACCCTCATCTAGCCCTCTCAGTGATTTATTTCAAGAATAGTCTAGCAGAGTTTTTTTTTTCTGCTCTTCTAAATACCTGAATAAAGAGACAAGCTTTTCTAACCTCAAGTGCATTCTCATGTATACTTCAGAATTCACATTGTTGATGATACTTAAACCTGATGTTTAATCAAAAAGAGAGAAAAGGCAGCTCAGGGGCTGATGAAACTTTCACATCTCTGCCTTCTCTTTCCCTCTCTGAACATTCTTCTCCAAACCTCAAGACTTCCCAGAAGAGCTGCATTTTTGCCTGTTTTAAGCAGGGCTCTTACAATCCTATCTAAAGTTTAGGACAGGTTTAACGCTTTACTGAAGCAGGATGGTTAAATCAGAGTCATCTTTTGTTCAACCAATGACAAGTGATTTCAGTTTAATTAACATTCATCATGTTGGACAGTGCAGTACAATAGGGCACTAATATCAATGTCCTGGCCATATTCATTTAATTGCATTTTAGTGAAAAACAGCACCCTGTGTTATTTATATAGCAGTCCATGGAGCAGATTACATCAAATATTGAATGCTACTTTTTGCTATTCATTCCCTTACATAGAATTTGTTTTTATTTTTTTTAATCCCCCTCAAGTGCGGTGTAGCTCAGCCAGTAGTTCAAACTCTCTGCATCCATGGAATCCTGCAATCCATTTATGCCTGCTTTGTAGAACTGATGTTTGCCTGGTAGTCTAAAACCTTTTATTTTTCTCTTTTTCTTTCCAGCACATGCTCTTGYACTTACCAGGGCACTCGCAGTATTATTTATGTTGCTGCCTGCCATATTTTCAAGCTACTAGAAGACAGTTTTAGACATTTTCATAATGTTTTGAAATGCTGATTAGGATTTAGCATGAAAATTAATGGCAGCTAGCTGTGGTCTTTCAGATGTGAAAGACCGTGCAATATATATTTTTTTTTATTTTTGGAGGGGGGGAAGGCTGCAGAGAATGAAGATATAAATAGCCGCTTGCTTTTCTCCAGGCAGGATCCTTTTAATCATGTAAAATAGATTTTAAAGATTAAAGACTCTAAGCTCTGTTCTGCCTTTGCTCATGTCTCCTATCACCATTTTTTTGTATGTAATTTGAATGAAAAAGGACACACAGGGTGCTTTCATTTGCATTACTCTAGACTGGAGTTTCCCCTTGAAGAAAACRGCCCCTAACTCCTCCGTGGAATAGAGGAAGCCACACACCTGGGTGAAACACCACAATATAGAGGAGGAGGAGAGGGGAAGAAAAACAAAACAAACAAAAACCCCAACAATCCCAAAGCATTAGCTTGCTTCTTGAACCTGGAACCTTGTTTTCTGAGATGAAGTTTGGAGCTATATCTTGCAAGCTGAGAAGAGAGACAGAAGAAATACTGGTATAGCAGCTACATCTGCATATGTATAAACTGCAGTTCTGGCTTTCATCTGGGCACCACCATACTGCACATGGAAGAACTGCACTAATTGGAAAGGGAGCATCAACACTCCCCTGGGATCTCCAGGGCCTCRTTCAGAAGTTTGGTGACGCTCGGGGGAGTTCTGTGAGAACTGCAGAAGGTGGAGGGAAGAGATTAAAGGCCCAGCTTTATAGAGAAAAGATGAAATGAAGTTTTCCTATAGGACCAGTGTACTATGAGAAAAGACAGAGGTGGTGGGACAGAGTATGTCAAAAATTTGAAGAAAAGCTTGGACAAGATAAGATATTCATAACCACCCACACTTAATCCTCTGCTTGAGGATGGAAGCATCTGTCACTTGCACGATAACCTTGTGTAGCCAAATCACTTCCTCTTACAGAAGCAGATGACACAATGAGTCACATTTTAGCACAGGTCTTTCTTCATTCTTATTTTTCCCCCCCTCCTAATGCATCAAAACACAAGGAGATTCCTATTAAGCATTGACAAAAGGGCCATTTCTCCACTTCAAACTCTTCCAACTCAGCTACAGTTCCAGCTTGTTTCCAGAGAACCTTCCCACAAAAAGCTGAAATACATTGATATTATTTGTGCCTCTTATTTAAATTTCTCAAATAAAGTACAGGAAATTTGGGTAAAACGGGTTAGATGAATTTCCTAAATAGCCAAGCCACTCCAACTTGCTTCTATGTGCTAATGTATTAATAACCCCATCAGCAGAGCACTAAGGCTTTCCTTGAGGAAGGAACCAACAAGAGTGACCAGCTGTGAACAAGCCTTCTTTCTACTAACTACCCTTTCATACTGCTCAACCAGAGAACAACAAGCAAACACACAGGGCATTGTTCAACTCTATACCACATCATATAAAAGGATTAATCTTTCCAATAAGATTTTAAATTCACCTTGGAGTCATCCTGGCAAAACCAGGGATGTAGTCTTCCAGTGGGCTGTAGTTCCAAGGAGTGGGTGACCTGCATCCTACCTGCTCACTCTGCAGCACAGATGACCTATATAAAGACATAGAGAAATAAGTAAAAAAAGTAAAACAGCAACATTTGAATACAAGAAATTATGTTGGTTCTGGYCTTCCAGGGACAGAATGGACAGAAGGAAAAAAAATGCACACAACTCTATTACAAGTAAATAAAACATACCTGTAATTGCAATCAAAGCCTCTGCCACRACAATCCTGGAAACAAAAGTTCAGAGGGAGCACAGGAAGCACCAGCACAAAGCTCCCCATACACCTGCACCAGTACAACTCATGGAAAGGGGCAGCTCACACCCCCTCTCTCTGCCTGCTTTTACCTCCCAGCTGAAAATGGCCACCAGTGTTTTCAATTAATTCCAGGTGGTTTCRTACTGCAGGCACTGATTCACTTGGAGCTGAACCAAACCCGCTCCCCCTGCTGCACAGATAGCACACACACTCTCACCCTGCAGATCTGTTTCAAGGTCCTGACCCTAGTTTTTAAAGCCCTTAATAGGCTAGGGCCTAATGAACCTTGGAGACGACTTCTTACTCCACGATCCAAAGCAACAGCTGTGATTGCTCCGGGTGAGCAGTGCTGACAGAGCCCGGAGCGAAATCCTCCTCGCTTTCCACGTCCCAGCCTCCTCTTAGCAAAGTCTCAAATGAGTCTTTTAGCAACACTTAGACCTCCTCAGATCCTCGTCTACAGTCCCGTTGCAGCCTTCCTCACTGCTGCTGCACTAGGTTCATTGAAAACCATGTTCCCCAGAGTACAAAGACAGAGAAGCTCTTGATTAAGCTGTAGAAAAGTAGGGCTGGGAGGGAATGGAAGAGTTCAGTAGTTCATCCTTGTTCGGCAATAGCAAGGGGAACACGGGCACGGAGCACGGGCAGAGTAGCCCTGCACTTGGRAGGAGCTGGTCCACTTGGGGTCCATGAGCAACGTAGCCCAAGTTCTCACAATGGGATCTCTTCCAGTAGCTTTGGGGTGAGGCCCTGGCAGATGCAAGCAGGAGAGCAAAGGCAGCCCTGTTTGCAGGGCATCTTTGTGCTTAGGACCAGCACAATATGCAGGTTAAAGAAGAAATTCCCCATTGCTGCTGTAATAATTATCTCCAATTTCCTCCTCAGCCTCTGCTCAGCATGCAGCCCATGCCTTTCTGTCAAACAACTTTTGAATCAAAATATGAAATTAGCCTGCATCCTAACGCTGGTTTGAAAATTTAGCTCAATCTCTCCATGCTCAATGCCACACACTATTTCATGCTCGAATATCAACTTTAAAATGGATTAGAGACTGAAGAGCTGGAACAAAGACAACTCATTACTTCTAGTGCACTAACACCACTTTTTCCATAGTCTTCCTTCCAACCACTTGAACTGTCCCTCTGACATCAGTGTTCACCACCTGCCCAGTCAGTTTTCTGAGGAGGGACTTGGGTTTTCCAATAAACCACCAAGTGTGACACATACTGAAGCACTTGTCTTGCCAAACTCACCCCTCTGTTCCCACCCTCCAATCCCCTGCTGGTCACATTCAGTCCTTTAGACTGTATGTTCATCTACTTTTATATCCTGCCGTGTTTTGTAATTACAGGTTCCTCCAAAAGAATAAGCAGTATTTACTGCAGCCACACCCATACCAGAAATGCCTGTGCAATGTTCTGTAGTTCACGTTCACAAAGAAAACAGACGCTGTAAAGAWATAACCATCCATCCACTTTGAGCTTTGATATCTGGTCCTTTTCTGCAGTTGGGACCTGATTCTTTGAAGCAGTAGAGCTGCCATAGCCCCTGAGGGACCTGAGTTTCTTCTCACACATGCAAATATAAATCAGGAGCTGCTCTACTGAAGCCAAGTGAATTACGCAGGTGAAACCTCAATGTGACAGACAGGGCTCATGGATGTCAACAGAGACTGGAACAGGCGCCCTTTCATTTTTCACATGGTGATTTTTCATTTTCAGCCACTTGGTTTTGCACAGCTACAATAACACATATAAAGCTGTGATGCAATAGGATAGGATGGTTGATATTTAGGAGAAATCACACACTTAGATCAATGCACACTGCAGGTATTCAGCTGGAACCAAATGTGTTGGAAGCGATGTAAACCCCGGGGGCTTGTTTGCTAATCAATAAACACAGGCATGTACGCCGCTGAGCTGCTGCTGGAGTGTTAATTGTAGCTAGGCTTGTTTGGGGGKTTGTTTGTTTGTTTTTGCATTGCTAAAGAAGCACATCATCAAAAGCTATGGCTTTTACAGAATAGGCATAATCTGAAAAATATACATATACTCCCTACTCTGATGTATTTTCAACTTTAGGGAAATGTATAACTCATTAGAGGCTCTCCATGTGGCCCCCATGACGAATAAAAAAAAAAGGCAAAGTTTCTAGTAGTTCCACTTCCCCAGTTTACCATAAGTGACATTTAAGCAGTCACCTGGGGAAAAATCCCGATGGGAACGCTGACAAAGCTTATCATTTGAAAAAGGTCAGAYCTTCTATTCTTGCTTTGAATAGATGGCAGTGACCTTAAAAATCTTCCAGCCTCAATCCCTCTCCTCATAAACATATGATAGAGCAACTAGCTATGCCAGTTCTRTCCAAGAAGAGATGCAGGAGATCATTGCTCTGCACAATTTTCTTATTCCCTGTTTCTCTCTTGACAAATTACAGATAACTCAACTGAGCTGAGAGCAGGWGTTCAGCAGCACAGGCACCAGTGTAGGAGGACCAGTCGGGACTCAGTGGAGAAGAGTTGCCTCTCTCCAAAACAACTGCCTTGAAAACAGATGGTAAAAATGCAATAGCATTCAAAGCCCTGGTGGGCAGGCCCCTCCATGTAAATACAGACAGAGAAAGGGGAATTCACAAAGACTAACTTTAGCTGAGACAATTCCCAGTAGGAATTGTCATTTAACAGCTCTGTCTTGGTCTCTTGAAGAGTCAAGCAGAAAGAGAAGCTACAAAGATGATTCTTATTCAGTTCAAGTCAGCTYTTTTTAAGACTCCTCTACTGTTTTGTTGATTGAAGACCTCATCTCACCCATCATTTACACAGGGAGAAAAAGGGCAGGCAGATGTAGAAATACCCACCCTGCTGATGGACACCAAAGCTCTAGCATGACCTTGGGCAACAAGGCCAAGCAACGATCTCATGGCAGATGTCAACCCCCMATCTGTTAGATTCTAGCTAATGACCTCAACCATGAATTCACCCTTCATTGTGACACACTCCTCACGCAGTGTTAATCCTGCAAGTATTCAGTTCCAAGCACTAGCTCTACAGTCTGATTTAGGTTGTCATCCTCGTGCTAGATTGTCAAAGACAAACTGGCGCTACAGGAGGGTGCTGGATGCTAATATAGCTCACGCCTCCTCCTCAGCACAACTATCAAAGAGTCTGATCCTCCACAGAGACTTCACAAGAGTAGCACTTCTGCCTGAGTCATACTGTGGGATGAAATAGGACAGCCCACAATGGTAATCCCAAATACTGCAATATGCTAGAAAATCACCGCTTAACTGCTGCAGTCACAGAAATACAATAAATATGCCCAATGATTCCATTTTTAGTTGCTTTTTCATGCAGCACTACAGTTTGTCAGTCTTTCTTGTCCCAGCTGGAATAGATGAATTGCTGATGCTTTTTAGGAGCATTGGCAGATGAGCACAATAGAAACATCACTCAGATATTGATGACTAATGTACGCAGAACGTTTCCAAAAACTGTGTTGCCATCGCAGCTAAACAAAATGTACTAAATTAACATTCACATGGAAGGAAAGGAGCTCATTGCCACATATTCTGCATTTAAATGAGCCTATGGCACAACTGCAAAGCTCATCTGAAACCAAAAACTACCCATGGTTCTCTTAAAAGTTTCATGGACCTCCATAAGCCTAACTCAGGTTTCAGGCTGGCAGTGAAACCTGGAGCAGCTCAGAAGGTTTAGGGTTTCATTGMAGAAATTTCACACAGCTCTAGCAGCAAGTAGGAGAGCTTCTCTTGGGTCACAGTCCTACAGACCAGTAGGTACCATCCTCACTTTAAATTATTATTGCMCTGGTGTAAAAATGACAGAGCAGGTCATGTGCCACATGCTGTAGGTGACCCTATGTGTGCAGACAGGTTGGACTAGATGATCTCTAAAGGTCCTTCCAACCTTCTATGATTTTATGATTCTATGATTCTATGGATTACTTGTAAGGTATAGTTCAGCACATATCATACAGTTCACCAAATATCAAAGTTCACACAAATCTCCTACCAGCTAAAATGGATCAGATCAGCTTCCTCATGGGCAGCCTCATAGACAGGTTTCCTCTGAGAACTGGAAGTCATTTGCTTGAGCGCGGCACAAGCCAGGGTTAATCTGCAGAAACAGAAAATCCTTGCAATGCCTGAAAATGTCACTGTCACACGAGAGAACGTGCAAATAAAAGGAAAATAAAACCTGATTTAGATTCGGGGGTGGGGAGAACTTGCCAACAAAAAACTATTTTAACAGCAAAACAATGAAGTTAACAGACTGACTAATAAAACAAAAGGAAAAGCCCTCTGTCTGGAGCAGGATTAAGTAGATGACTCATGAAGTTAGTTCTGTTGCTGTCATCTCTGACTAAAAGTTATATTGAAGTCCACATATAAAATAATCTGACTCAAGAGAAAGTGAAATAGCTATGGGGAATAAAAGCAACAGAAGGGAGTCAGTGCTCCCAACTTCGTTCCCAGCTATCACAGAGATTTGAACACTCCTATATAAGCAATTGGAGAATTGGAGATCTTTCCCTTCACTTGGAAAATTATCAGCAAAAAAAMCCCAGATTTGTTTCCTACCTCATGTTCCCTCAAATTTTCTATATACTTACATATCCAGATTATGACATTACACAAAGCTTACAAATCCAAAAGCAGAATGGAGACCTTTTAGTCTTCTTTTATTCTGAGATACAAAACTGCTTGTTTTGTGGCTGAAGTAGCTGTCTAAATGTTTGCTGTCCCTTAGACACGTTATGAGGATTCGTGTTTTAATGTTCTTAGAGTTGCCTTGAATAGCTTTTCCAAATCRAGTTGTAGTCTATTCTTCAGATACAAGCAGACAAACAGAGAGTAGATTTCAGCATCTCTGGCTACATATTTACCAGTGGTAACACCAGAATAGCCTTAGAGCACTTTTTTTTTTTTTTTCTTTTGGGTAAGGATTTCAATCATCTTACTCATTGCCTGGCTTTACTTATTGCCTGGCTTTTTTCAAGTCACTTGAT